TCTAAATTTTCTATTTAACTAAAATATTTTTTTGTTATATAAAAATTATTAGCTTCTTATTAAAAAGTGAAATAAGACTTAAATTTAAATACATATGTAAATATGCCTTTATGCATGTGTATTCGATCATTTCTTTTAAAAATATTAAACTACCCAGTGGGAAAAGTGGTAATGCATTACATGCGTGATAAATAATGTTATGTATTTCTTATGAGTTCTAGATTCTATTACTGTTAACTATGTAATCAGAATTCTAATGTATCCAAAAAGTTGCCAAAAATTCATATTAAATCGCATTCATTCCTGCATTACTGGTAATGCAAAATTGAATGCCACACTGTTCCTAGGACATCGCTGTGGGAAAAATAATGCATTTTCGAATATAAAAACGGCAGTTTTACTGATCATTTTTTCGATCACAATACATTACATTTTCCCTTTGGGTATATATGTATGTGGAGAATTAGTCCTTTATTTAAACACGTCTATCCGACGTGGTAACCAAAATCCAACTTCGTATTACATTGCCGAATTTACTCTTATATGTATGAGCGAAGAACATCAGGTGATGATATTCGCAATATATAAAATTCATTGTTATGATAGCCTTATTAATAGGAGTAAGAGAGATCGCACTAATGTAATCGCTAGAATAATAATGCAAAGCATAATGTAAGATAACTTAGGCCTTAACTCTCCGTCAGACACATGTTTCGATTGGCACATTCGGTACGCATGAGTCTGGCTGGATCCACATAAAAATTGTATACATTTATATAGAAACTATGTGCAACATTTGTTCAGTTAAACTTATTTATTGTATGTTATTCAAATAATTACTTAATTTAAGGGCTTTCTTTTTTATTTTATCATTTAAATACACTCGTGATCAAAACCGAGTGCATGTTCGACATTTTATTACTTACAGTAGCATAACTTTTTTAATAATAAGCGGATTGCTTTGAAATTTTCAACAGTTTGTCCTTATTATCTAAGGTATAAAGCCTAGCATACAGAAAAATTAACAAGTGATTCACAGCAAAAACGCAAGGCAACTCTCTTCACTCAGTTTTGAACTTTTCTGTTTTGAGATTTTTGGAGGTATATATCAAGAGGATTGTGGAGACTCCTTTGCTTTTAATAGCGATTTTCATACGTCTGGGAATGTTCTCTACTGATTTTTCTATGATTTCGCTTGGAATATTACCTCATTATAATTTCACTCGCCTCCAAAGCTCTTCCATATTACTGGAGCTCGGTTGTGCTATGCTAATCCTCTCTTGACCACAGCGCTCAATTTTTCGATAGCTTTGAGGTCTGGGATTTGTGCTGGCCACCATGTTAGACGTTTTTCTTGGCATGGTGTTTTTGAAGATGTTGATGAGGTCGTTCCCAAAAATATTATTTTTTTATCGCTTTGGAAACAAATAATTTTCGTTCCATCGGACCATATTACCCCTTTTCAGTCCAAAAGCTCCAATTGTCGTGACTTTTACAAAATTTCAGTGGCTTGGGATGTTTTACTTGCTGGCATTTGGTGCCATGGGTTAATATAAAAGGTATAATGAACATATCCTCCAAACAAATTTGCCGGACTTTGTAGACAAAAGCGCAAATCCTGCGGAATAAGTTGTTTGCCAGCAGGACGGAGAACCAAAGGATTCTGAAAATATTCGACACCGCCGGTTGCTTGAGCAAAATTTTCACGTAATGCAGTGGGCAGCCATCGAAAATTTGATCCCCTGTGGTCAAGAGAGGATTAACATAGCACAAACGAGCTCCGAGTAACATGGAAGAGCTTTGGAGGCGAGTAAAATTATAATGGGGTAATATTCCATTGCATTCCTTCATTTTAGGTAAAAATGCAAATCATCTCTTGCCATGATATGTAATTCAAAAAATTCAAAAGAAAACTTTGAAAAACGGTTGTAAAAATTAAATAGGAATATATGTGGGTCCAGCCAGACCTATGTGTTACGAATGTGATGTATTAATCAACATATCTATATATCTAGCTTTATATATATGATACCGACATGATTTTTTACATATTTGTAGTTCACTAAACTTTAGTAAGCTACCTGAAACTTCAAGCCTCTAGCTATATTTAAAGTGCGCTTTTTTGTAATTTGAAAATAGAAAAGGCCTGGCTGGGCTCATGTGTCAGACGAAGGGTTAAGTGTACGAATATAAATGAATTTAATATTAACCTTTATGTGCACAGTTTAACAATAATAGATTAATTGCTTAATGTGAGTGCCGCCACATGTCTCCCCTGCGGCGAAAAAAAAATTATATATTAATTTGAAGAAATCTGGAAGCATACCCTTTTTTGACTTCTTTGTTTGTTGGTCGGCGAATGAGGATTGGTGTCGCTGCTATTTGTATAGCGTTGGCTGTCATCACTACACAGGAAAGCTGGTTTGAGCCGGTCGATGGAAATTTGTGTAGGTTTCCCATGAAGCAGCACTTTTTAGTATTTGTCATACCGCTCCACGACTGGAAATGGTCCGTCGTATGGCGATGAAAAAGATTGCTTGACTCTGTCGTTGCGGATGAAAACGTGCGATGAGTTTGCGAGCTCCTTTGAAATAAATATTTTCTCTTGGCTATGGCGAGATGCAGGCGTAGGCGTCAGATTTTGAAATGCTTTCCTGAGCGTTTTAACGAGTTCAGGCGCTTCAATGTTTTGAGTTGATAGTGCTGAAAACTCACCTGGGAGTCGAATTGGCTCATCAAAAACAATTTCTGCTGATGTGGCTTTGATGTCTTCTTTAAATGCCGCACGTAGTCCAAGGAGAACTGCAGGAAGTGCATCGTACCAACACTCGCCGTGGCAGAGAAGAGATGATTTCCGTTGCCGATGCAAGCGTTCAACAAGTTCGTTAGATTGTGGATGATAACTAGTGGTTCGTTGATGTTTAAAACCAAGGAGATCAGCGAGTTTCTTGGAAAGATCTGACTCGAATTGTCCTCCAAGGTCGGTGGTTATCCGAAGTGGAACGCCAAAATATGAGACCCAAGTTAGCATTAGCGCGTGTACTACTCGATCGACCGTACCGTCAATAAGTGGTGCGGCGGCTGGATAGCGTGTGCACCGGTCAATGATTGTGAGACATTTGGTGTTACCTTTTGACAGCGGAAGTGTCACCAAATCTACGTGAATGTGCTCAAAACGGCAAGAAGGTGGTTGAAAAATCGCGATGGGTGAAACTGTATGGCGTGCAATTTTATTGCGCTGGCATTGAATGCAAGCTTTTGCCCAACTGATGCAATCCTTGTTGACTGATGGCCAAACGAATCAAATAATCAGGCGCCTAGAAGCTCGACGGCCTGGGTGTGAAACGGAATGAAGTGTGTCGAAAATTCGTCGCCTCAGTGGTTGTGGAACGAAAGGACGTGCCGTGCCTGTTGATATGTCGCAGTAGACGGCAACGTCTGCGTTATTACTTCTGATTTTGCATAGTTGCAGTGAAGTTTTAGAGCTGCTGCAGAGCAGTTGCTGCTGCGTGAATAGCATCGACTCGAGATAAGGCGTGAGCAACGATATTGTTCGACCCGGATATGTGCCGTATGTCGGTAGTGAACTGACTTATAAAGTCGAGTCGTCGGAATTGCCATGGTGATGCACGTTCGGGCTTCTGTTTGAATGCGTGCATTATGGGTTTGTGATCCGTATAGATAACGATGTGTCGTCCCTCAAAAATGTGGCGGAAAGATTGAGCTGCTTCGTAAATTGCGTTGAGTTCACGATCGTAGGTTGATCGCTTTTGCACAGATGGTGCAAGTTTGCGACTAAAGAAAGCGAGTGGTTGCCAATGTTTACCAGAGCGATGCTGGAGGGCGGCGCCTATTCCGCACTCGAATGCGTCTGAAAAGATGGCCCACTCTGCGTTGTGATCTGGGTGTGCCAAGAGTGTTGCGTTGGCGAGAGCCTTCTTACATTCAAAAAATGAGTTTTCGAGCGATGTTGTCCAATTTATTGGAGTTTTTCCGCAGATTTTCGGACCTTCGAGTAGCTTATTAAGTGGAGCTAGTAGGTGAGCTGCATGCTTGATAAATTTTCGGTAGAAATTTATGGTACCTATGAAGTTGCGTAGCTTATTGATTGTTGAAGGGCGAGGATAGTCTATGATTGCTTTAACTCGGTCTGCGAGTGGTTGTATGCCGTCTGCGGAAATAGTGTGCACGAGGAATTCAACTTCTTTCAGACCTAGCCGAGCGGTGAAATCTTCAAGACATCGAACTGGATACCGATCTGGTATAGTACGTTCGTTAAGGCGACGGTAATCGCCGCATGGGCGCCATTCGCCAAATTTCTTTGGTGCGAGGTGCAGTGGAGATGACCATGGGCTGTCTGACGGTCTTGCAACACCCAGTTTGATCATCTTATCAAATTCAGCTTTCGCAATTTTTAGACGATCGGGAGCTAATCGACGAGTGCGGCTACTGACTGGAGTACCAGGTGCTGTTTTTATGGGATGCTGCGTTGTGTGTGGAATATGCGTAGGTGCACCATCGGGGCGTGTAACTCTGGGAAATTCGGCAAGCAATTGCCAAAGTGCTGATGATTCATTCGGCTGCTGAATTTTAATTGACTGCACATCCACACTCCTGGCTGTGTCTGTTGTGCGTAGCCAAGTAGTTTCGTCGATAAGTCGTTGGTTTTTGAGGAGGAGGCCGTAAAAGTAAGCCGTGTGAAAGTAAATCAGCGCCAATGATTGGTCGCGAGACGTCTGCTACTATGAAGCGCCATGTTAGCGCTCTGCGGAGGCCGATATTTAAATTGATAGTTAGGACGCCGAAGGTATTAATAGGCGTTCCATTTGCTGCGATGACTTGGTAACCGGTCGCCATCTTCATAGTAGTGTTACCTCCGTGGGGGTAAACTGAGACTGCGGAGCCCGTGTCCACTAAAAACTGGATGCAAGAGGGTCGGTCTGTAATGAAGAGGCGGTACGATGGTGGAAGAGAGGCGCTTTCCACCGCTAACGTCTCTCTTATTTGTTTTCCGCTAGTTTGCAACCAGGTGTGCATTGTTGATTGAGGTTACCAAACTTTTTGTGGTACCAGCAGGTGTTGCCGGCTGGGCTTACGGGAGAAACTGATCCGCTCCTGTTAGCGTTACGTGGACGAAAATGTTTTATTCCAGTCGTTTGTCGGCTGTCTAAAAGCTTCTGCAGGCATTTTGTAATGTGCGCTAGTTGTTGCTCTACCTCTGAAGGCACGGCGCCTGGACTATTTGCGAACGATGTTGCAGCTACATGAGTGCCAGTAGACGGTCTGAGCACGTCATGCAGGCGGGCTGCGGCTTCGCCCAATTCTTGTAGCCCGGCTGTGCATTGTGCGACTGAACATGCGCGAATTTGGTCGGGCAGGTGCGAGAGCCACCTTGCTCTTAATACCTCCCCATCGATGCCTGGAACTAGACTACGTAGGTGTCGAAGATGTTGAAAGGGTGTCCTATCGCCAAGACACTCGCCGTCCAGCAATTGAAGGAGTTTCGCTTCTCTGGACTTTGAATAGCAAGCGATTAGCGCTGTCTTTAATTTGTGGTATGGATTCTCTGCCGGTGGATTCAAAATAATGTCCTCAGCGTCGGCAGCTATGCGCGTGTCAATGAGTGGAATTGCGTGATGGATTTTGTCCACTTCATTTGTAACATTATGGTTCCGGAACTGGGATTCTAATTGCGCGAACCAGAGTCCCGGCCTGTCTTGATTGAAGCTTGGGACACGAATTGTCGCAGGGCTAGCGTTGTTACCCAAGAGTATTGATGCTTTCGGCAGGTGTGGCGTTTCGTCGTCGGCTGGCATTTCGTTTGGCTTCCAATATGAAACTTGTAGCTGCAAAGAAAATGCCAATGGTAGCTGCAAATGCCCTTAAGCGGCTGCTATGCGAAATGGCAGTGCAAAGTAACGTTGCCGATGTCTTGCACTTATACGCGGCCAGCGGATAGTTGGGTGTGGTGTGAATTTTGGTCGGGGTCACCTTCAGTGGTTGGTAGCGGTATGTTTTTTTTCCAAGGTTGCGCCAAGGTGACCGCTAAAAGTCCTCGCGGTTGTCGTCGGGGTCACCAATGTGGAGAATTAGTCCTTTATTCAAACACGTCTATCCGACGTGGTAACCAAAATCCAACTTCGTATTACATTGCCGAATTTACTCTTATATGTATGAGCGAAGAACATCAGGTGATTATATTCGCAATATATAAAATTCATTCTTATGATAGCTTAATTAATAGGAGAGATAGCACTAATTTAATCGTTAGAATAATAATGCAAAGCATAATGTAAGATAACTTAGCCCTTAAGTGTATGAATATAAATGAATTTAATATTAACCTTTATGTGCACATTTTGACTATAATAGATTAATCGCTTAATGTGAGTGCCGCCACATNTCCGCGGATGTCTACATTCCACATTCGCAACCTCCCTAATACATACATATGTATGTAGATAAATATATATACATACATATGTAGACATTGGTAAGTTATTTTATTTCAAATGAACATTATTTACACAATTTTTCGTAAAAATGCATAAAATTTAGTTCATGGTTTTCACCAACCGACATCATTTATAGTGGTTATGTTTTGGAATTGCATTGTAATATATCGCTACCTAAATGTGAAAAGGTGCCAAGTCCACTTCTTTTTAAATTTATTTTTTGATGCAGAATGATAAATAATGCGGAACTACATCTTCGTCTCTCTTGAACAATTTAAAAAAAATAAGGCTTGTCACCTTTTCACCTTTAGATAACGATACACATACATATGTATGTACTATATTTACTTGATTTACCATAAACCCAACCATTGAAAATGTTGGTAAATAAGTATTTAAAACTGAAAACAATTTCTTAATTTTTTTTTGTAAATGTCTACCTTATATTTATTATTTCGATTAGAGCGTAGATATGTTTTATTAAAAACAAAATGTGATGCACAGTTTAAAGATAGATATTATTTTTCGGTTACATATGCATACACAGATACAATTAAATTTACACACAATTTTTACAAAATTACTAGCTTGCTGAATTTTCCTATTTAATAAGGATTTTCTCAGATGACTTGTTCTTTTGAATTTTTAATGTATCTTCGACATATATATCCAATCTGTTTCTGGCATTGAATTTAATATTTCTATATACGTATTTAATTTTATTGCAGTTTTAAAAGTTTATTATTTATTTTGTTTATAATTTTTTCCTTCTGGTATTGATCTACACCTTATCTGGTAATGATCTGCTTTGTATCAGCTATGAAATTGCTAAAAATCTGCTATGATCTGCCTCATATCTGTTTATCATTTTTATTCTTATTTTAACAATATATTTTTAAAGTGTGTTATGCATTTCGTATACAATTTTTCTTTTTTATGTCTTAATGTCTGTTTGTGATCTGCACCTGATCTGATATTAGCATTATCACGGATAAGTGTTTTGGAATTTTCATTTATGTTTGATATATGTACATATGTATGTATGTAAATGGAATAAAGTTTTGCTCTAGCTGGACGTAAGACTTAATAATTTTACCCAGAATATTAAAAGATGTATTCCTGTTTTTATGGTTACAATTGTCAAAATAAACCCATTTAGATGTATAATAAGATAGAAAATTTTTCTTAGAAAATTGCTCCTACGAAATAGATTTCGCGATCTTAGCAAATTTCTATGTCATAACAAATGCTTATTTGCAATTAAAGTATTTACTGTAGGATCGCTTTTGGACTTAGTTAGAAAAGTTACGAAGTCATACGAAAAAGTAATGATAATCAATATATCTTCTGAATTCTTTCAGAGAAAATTTAAATTTTTACTGCAAATCAGCTTATTATAACGACGCAATGGACAAAGGCTTTTGAGTTAAATTTTATTAATCATCTGTTTGCTATGCAATATTTTATACCTACACATGTGTGTGGGAGAATATGTATCAAATATGTAACGGGTGATTTTTTTGAGGTTAGGATTTTCATGCATTAGTATTTGACAGATCACGTTCGATTTCAGACATGGTGTCAAAGAGAAAGATGCTCAGTATGCTTTGACATTTCATCATGAATAGACTTACTAACGAGCAACGCTTGCAAATCATTGAATTTTATTACCAAAATCAGTGTTCGGTTCGAAATGTGTTTCGCACACCCAATTGCTGCGAACGGCGACGAATCGACATTTCACGGTCTTCAGCAACACTCTCAGAAACAGACGCAATATTCTCTTCTGTACGCACTGTACGCATTCGTGTGGTTGGTTTAATGTCCAATAAAGTAAACTGAGTGCGAAACTTGGTCACAATCGCATTAATTGTTTGCTCACTTGGTCGATTAT